ATTTCGCCAAAGGTAAACATCATAGAGCGCTACTACGATACCGGTACGATATGGTTACTACAGAGTACAATCAATACAGATGCAAGTGCATTCTCTTCGGGGGAAATGGTGGTCCGACGCCAAAAAGGAACAACTCCATTCGCGCTTCTTGCTGTTTTGCGAATATTTTACTTTTGAATGATCCACCAAGCAATCAACCCTTGGACCAATGAACCATTTCATAATACATTTTATAAAATACCTAACCCTAATCTATATATGTTACTCCGAAGAAGGACATTGTACTTTTAAAACTCGCTTCTCGTTACGGTCTTTCCAGGGCCTCCTGTGCTCGTTTCGCACGTTTCGCCTGGACTTTGTTGGTGGCACTTGTGGTGCTGGTAACCTGGTACCCCAACAAGACTACCCCAACGGAGGTTCATCCAATGCGGTCCTTTACTTTTGCGAAAATCGTTGCCAAACTGATATATTAAAATAACACTTGTGCGGAACTAAAATGCACGTATATATTTGTAAGTTGGCTGGTGGTGAAAAATCAATGATTGCAATTAGTTTGCCTAGCCAAGAAGCAACATGTACACTACCGCCGTGGTACTACTAGCTAATAATTAATAATATTAGTCCAACATGGGAGCCGCTCCCAAGCCTCTTGCATGGGATGGCTGTTGTGACTCTTGCTGCGCGTCCATACCATCATTAGTACTACTCTTGGGCCGAATAATGAGCTTTCCCGACGGCCAGCATCCAATATACTGCAAAGTCCGCGAGGAGGCATTCGAGACATCCAAACACGCTGGCGGATGTCGATTTCCATCGACCAATTCCCACTCTCCAGATTGCAATTTGGTCAGAATTTCGGTTCCATTGCCCGCAATCCAATGCAAGGCATCTCCCAAAGTATCGTCTGCGTCAAATTTACGTTTGAGCTTATACTGGGAATCCTGCTCCAATCCTTCAAAATTGACAAAAATCCAAGCTCCGCCCATGGTGGGTTCCGTCGGCAACTTGCTCATGTGTTGGGAACGTGCAATGGCTTCTTGTGCCGAATTGTCGGCCGAATGGAAGGCTTGACGCAATTCCTTGTGGAATTGTTGCAGGCTTTTCCCGTAGAGGTACTCGGGCGTCAACCGGGTCTGTTCCAAGGCCGAAATGCCGAGATACAAAGTAGCCGGATCCGCCAATTCCAAGGTCAAAATGTGTCCATTGGATTTGCGATAATTCATGGCCAGCAGCAAGTCTTCGGCACCTGGCGCATTTGCCAAGGATTTTTGGTATCCAGCCGTCGTTTGGTCAATCCGACGAAATTTGGGATGAGTGGGATTCGACTGGAGTGTCTTGAGTGTTTTGTAGAGTGTGTCGAGCGCACTGGGACTCGATTTCAGTCGATCCGCCGTTCTTAAAATCTGCTCTTCCTTGGACTTGTTGGAAAGTTTGGTTGGTACCTTGACGTTGGGATGACTTGAAATGGCGGGAGATGAAGATCGGCTGGAATGAGCCGAATTTGGTGGCGTGTTGGCTCGAGTCAAGGCTGCCTTTCCAGCATTCGTCGCAGCGGCCGTCTTGGGCTTTCGCTTTGGGGCAGGCTTTGGCAGGGCATTCCGTGATGCCAGCTGTGGTGTAGTAGTAGAAGTAGTCATCATACTCGCTTGAAGTGCGCGTTGCAATTCGTCATCTTCAACTTGTTGTCGATTGGCGTCACGAGCCGGTGCACTGCTGCTATTGTGCTGAGTACTAGGTCCTCTGGCGAGCAAAATATTGGCAGCCTGCTCTAGATTGCCATCAGTTTGCTGAAGCGCATTGCGGGCATCGGCTTCCGAGAAACCCATGTTCTTCAATGTATTGACATTTTGTTGTTCGGTAGAAGAGTTGAAGACTCGGTCGGCGAGTCTTCGAAACATTACTGGCTCTCGTGGGTATGGAATGGTGGAAAGCTTATTTGTTGTGAAAGGGAAAGACACAAGTTTGCTGTGTTGTTGCTGCCAAGTTTTGCGTTTTGTGAGGGAAATACTAAAAGTGTCGTCGGTTGGATGTTGAAACGTACCGTACAGTTGGAATAGTCACTTTGTTTCGTCGTTCGACGAACATCGGAGAATGCGGAATTTCCCAACGAAACAGTTCGAAGATTTGACTCGTGGGAATGAAAAATCGACTTCGTAGACAGTCAGTCAGTCTTCTGTCTCATTCCCTTCTTCTCCATTACTACAACATACCATCACGCTGATGCTGGACACTCAAAAATCATACATAATAAAATCAAACGATCCTTTGGCAACATCAGCAGATAATCGTTGCAATTGAACAAATCAAGCTTCAACAATCAAATAGAGCGTCATTCATAGCTCTCTCTCTTGTATTCATTATAAATAAGAAAGTGAATGACCAAAGGCAAGCCATAACAATTCCAAGAATCCATAACTCCAAATCAATTCCAAGACAGCGACAGCAAGGAGGTAACCAATCGATCCCATGCCGTCTCCCAATAAACCCGAAGGAAGTGGTCCTTCCATCAAACTCAAGGTTCGATCTACTTCACCAGTTCCATCCTCCTCCACATCCGCGACTGCGATAAAATCGTCGTCATCATCACCCAAGCCCAACGCGGAACCATCCTCCAACGAACCAGGAGCTAGCAAATCCAAAAAGAGACGATTCAATCCACCACCCTCGTTACAAGACAATAAAGCGGAGGCTTCCAATCTTCGGTTATACCATCAAAAGTCACATCTTTCCTTTGTATTGCATTCAAACTATCCTCCCACTACACTTGGTAATAGTGGTGGTGCCGGAGAACCAAAATGGTACGCCCAGGGACAAACCACACTCTACCTAGCCGACTTGTCCATGGGCGCTGCTTCCAAATCATCATCCTTGAATCTGGCACTACATTTGCGAGGATCGTCTTGTCAAGTCACCCATGTCCAAGTGGAAGGTGTCAACGAACGCAATTATTCGTTCGCGCCATTGAAATCCGCCCATTGGCACTTTGATCCATTGGCCAAGGTTTTGAGAAAGCCGCCTACTTCTTACACCATGGAAGATATTATTTTGCAAGCAAAGCAACAGCAACAACCAAGACACGAAGCCGATTCTCAATGTTCGCGAGGCGCCAAGGGTATGACTACCTCACTACGAGCGGCCAGCATTGCCAGTCACTTGGGCGAATTGCGGATTTCGGCCGCCCAATCCAACCAACCGGCACAAGTGGCGGTGCAGCAGCAGCAGCAAGATAAATTGGCGGCCTGTTGGAAACAAGACTTGCAGGAACCTCCGCCCCATACGACGGCGGCTCATGGCAAGGCCTTGGAACGAATCCAAGGGAAAATGGCTTCCCGGGAGGGACCACGCAAACAAGCACGGGTCGATTTGGTGGCCAAGGACATGGCCAAGCAACGATCTTCCGTCAAAGTGACTGTACATTACCTAATTTTATTGGGCAAGGAACATTTGGGAGGTATTCATGCACTGGCCAGGGGTGGGTCCCCACATATTTATACCACGAGTGGTGTCTATGGAGATCACGAGGGTCCTCGCAGTTGGATTCCGACCTTGGATTCGGCGGCGACGCACCATCGGGCCTCGCACGATTTGACCATTCAAGTTACGGCGCCCATGCGAGAAGGATTGTCGGTAGTGGGATTTGGGGAAGACTGTGGTGGATCCAAAACCTATCTGCACCGGAGGCCAGCACCAGAGTCGCCACCGGATGTCCAACTACAACAAGAGTTGGGCTATCATCATGTCCGCATGTTGCATCGGATCATTAATGCCAACCATCAAACTATAATGACTCAATCGCCCAATGCACCACATGTGATTCCACCGGATCCATCTTCTGCCAGCGTGGTCTCGATTGATTCCTTGTTGGCTACGACTGTTTGGACATCGGCCAGTTGGTTGCCCGTTTCCGCAAGGGCCTTGGGATTTGCCATTGGTCCTTTTCGCATGTTGGAGGATCCTGAATTCTTTCACGATAGTACCTTGGATGACAAAAGTCCGGAAGCGAAGCAATGGCGGGAAGAAGCAGAAGAGGCACGGCAGAATGGGGAAGGAATTCGACAAGTAAGTAAAAAGAAGGAGAAGGATGTTTTTTTTTCCGTTTTCTTGATACAACTAACAACGCTGTTTATTGATCCTTCCATTGCAGTACTACTTTGCTCCCATCTTTGCCCGAAAATACATCCATGCACAGGCCAGCACTTCATTCTTGCCCAACACTGATTTCCAGTTCTCGCCTCTGACCCCTCGTCAAAAGGATATCATGGCTGGATTAGATCAAAGTGTGATTCTTGCGACCGCAGGAGTGACAAACCGAGCACTCTCCTTTATGAAGGAAATATTGGCCTTGCCAGTCTTTCGAACAGTAGCCTACAGTCAAGTTTGGATTCCTGGTGCCGTTCATGGTGGATCGACCTCGGGGTGTCTGAATGGTTGTCCCGAAGCATCACTCAACCCATTCTTGGGAGGAGCCATCATGGATTCTAGGCTACTTCCACCGGTCGGTCATCGCCTACCTTTTTACCATGGAGGACGCGCTTTGCAGTTCTTGCAAGCTCGATCGGCGGTACGGGGTTGGATCATTTCGGCCATTCCGTTGGGAGGACAGGATGATGTTGGTCAAGGGTATATTCATGCTTTGTTTGAAAGTCTCATTATGAGTTTGTATGAGCGGGGACATGCGGCACATGGAGAAGGTACTCAATGAAGCACTTCCCGAATGCAATTGCTGGAAGCTCTTAATCCCAATCTGACTCCTTTTTCCCCAATTTCAGGTGGTGCTAAGGATAGCATGTTTTACACAAAACGATTTTCGGGTGGCAGCGGGCTGAATAGTAACAGCTTGGACTTTTTTCCAATCCAGAACATTGAAGACGCCGATCTTGATGTTGTGGTTGGAGGCATCATTGGTGCAGTACCGGTGGAAGATAGAAATAATGATCAGCTCTGGCGATCAGCTTCCAATGGGTCAGAGTCACATACTTCTTCGATGGATGAGTTTGCCATTCGTCAGCTCCTGTGCAAGGATGCTGTCAATCATCTGGAGCGCATGGTCGGTAGTGGTCGAACCATCACTTTGCCTTCAATGGGATGGCTGGGGTCCAGCTTGGCACTCTCGTTCCTCTCCAGCAATGCTACCTCTAGTGCTGGGCTGGGATGTGGTGCGCTGGAACTTGCCCACCCGGTTGGTGGTCTCCCTTATCGGGCCCTGAAATCAGATTTACTCAGAAAAGTCATTGAAGGTAGAGCTGGAATCGCAAATTTCATCCGACTCGTCCGTGCTTCCTTTGTGGCAGCGCATCTGGACGACAATGGACACCAGTCGTTGAATTATCCTCCAAATTCTAAACCAAGATCTAGCGAGAAGGAAAAGCCAGTATCTGAGGGTGAGAAAAGAGACATGAAATTTGAAGAGTCACAAAAGAGAGTTCCAAGGTTTATCAATTGCGTCAACGAGATCCTGAAGAAAAGAGGTCTCACTCACACGCTATTCACAAGAGCGTTGCAAAATCTGGCTGGGAAGATCAGGGAGGCTCAGCTTCTTGGCACATTGGTGGATGTGGAACGAACAGCCATCGACCCAAGAACCAAGGGTCCCTTTGTTGAACCAGCTGGATTCCCGAACATTTATGTCCGAGGAGCATCGGAGTTTTATCTTCGTGTGGGTGTACATGTTGAGCCAGCTCGCGATGGGCCAGGGGGAGTCAACAAAGGCATTCAACTCCAGTCTTATGCAGAACCAGTGATACCTGTTGGAGGCGTCGCTTTGGGTGGGGCAATTACGGTTCGAGTGGTGGAGAACGAAGGGTCTTTCCGTGAGTTTGTGAAAGACATCAATGTCGACGGGAGTCGACGTGACTGGGGAAGCCTCTTCCTCCATGCCAAACCAGTAACCTTACCAAAGGCCCAGACTGCGGCAAGCGGAATCATTGAAACGACTGGGAGCTCAGTGAAGGACCCTTCCAACGCGTCCAGCAGTTTGGTGGCTTCAAGTGGGGGAGCTTTTTCGGAATCGCATCTGCACCGTGGCGGATACCAAGCTATCGAGCTAATTCGCCTTACAAATTTGACACCTTTGCTATGGGTTCGCGTAGATCCAATGGGACTCTATGGGGGCAAAATCTCTGTTTCGCAACCAGATGCCTGTCTCGCCGAGATGGTATTCCATGACGGTGATGCTGGAGCTCAAGTTACTGCCATGCGAGCATTGGCAGAACGACCAGTTCGGATTCAAGGATCGTTGAAAGTCACGGCCGTCTACGATGTGAATATCGCTGAACTGCCAGTTCGAGTTCTCGGAGACTGCCTTCGAGGTTCTCCTGCAATGCACAGTTCTCTCCCGCATACCCCTGGTGTTCGGGTTCAAGCTGCTTTGGCAATTGGCCAGTGGCAAAACAACAAGGCGCCGCAAACAAAGAATACAACCGGCGCCAAGCACTGGATCGGACTGAATCTTCTGATTCAATATTTCAAAGAACGGTTTATTAACAACGGAACTCCATTGCCTGTAAAGATGAATCGAGTGGTTCTGAAGAAAAACTCGGATACATCGGAAGCTGCTGCTAATCAAGACGGAGCATCAAAAAAGTCAAATGATGAGTATGACTATTTGGATTCATTTGACGAAGGTGAGGAAAGAGCTGCTGTGCTGGAAGAGTTCGAGGAAGTCGAGGTAGAAGAAGATGAAGAATACCGCGTTAGATCTGCCGTGATCACAGCGATTGCTTCGGTGAGAGCAAAGGATGGGCTGACTCCTACCGCTGCTATTGAATTCTTGGAGAAAGTGCTTGACTCCGTTGATACCGAAATGGTTGGAAATTTGGTGTCTCCCGATGAGGAGCTTTTCTTGGAGAAGAAACGAAGAAAACTTCGAATGGCCGAAGAGGAAGCGAAAGAAGACATGGATGGTGACAAGGTTGTCAACGACCTGAATGATGGCTTGGTTCCATCCATTCCCTATGCGTCAAGTATGCTGATTTCGGATTCGCTCCTAGCTCTTTGTTACATCAATGCCAGTCCTGCAGTCATTACCGATCCAGTCACAGGAAAGCCTGTCCAGTCGACTGCAAAGCACCCAGTGTCACGATTGATGGAGATATGCCGACGCTGGCTGGATTGGGAACTTTACCGAGAACGAATTCGAATGGAGGTGGATATGGAATCGATGTCTGGGGTAGCTGGAGTCTGCTACGATAGTATCGCTTCATGTGCGATTACAGCTTTGTCGTCACTTGCTATCCAACGACAAAGTACTACCGAGCAACAGACGGTCCCTGCAACAGACAAGTCTCAGTCTAGCGAAACTTCTGATGAATCCAGTAGATTTCAAGAGGCAGCATCTGCTGATTTCTATATCAAGATCTTTGACTCGAAGCCTCATCGATCGGATGTAACAAGGGCTGCATGTGCACAAGCAATCATTTGTGTTTGTTGCGCAGCTGATAGACTTGAAGATGCCTCGGAAAAGCCCACTGGATTGCTGTTCGCTTTGGAATTCGTCCTCGAGCGAATCACCGACAGGTCAACTTCTCCTGCACTGCGCCAAACGTTGGCCCAGCTCATGATGGACGCATGCACAGGAAGAATATGCTCCATGCAACGAGTTGCTACGATTGGCGGAAGAAATGATTTGTTCTCTTCAACTGCAAGATTCCTGAATGGACCGCTTGGAGCTGCGAATGGCGGAGACAATGGATCAGCAATATTGACCATGGTGACACCGGCCTCCTTTCCTGCTGCCGCAGCCGTGAACGATGGCGCTCGCCGAGGATTGCGTTTGATGACAAGAGCAGGCCGCGAACCCAAGGCCTACAGTGACGTTCTCATAACTCGGATTGCTCGTTTTGCAACCACTCTTTGGCGTACCATGAACGGAGAACCTCTAGAAGTGGTTGACGGCGTCCCTGGATATGTCGATGGCTCCCTTGGAATATGTGCAAATGATGGTGTTTTGAGATGTTCACTCCTATGTCTATGGCAATGGATTTGGCCGAATGCATGTTATGCCACACTTCGAGTTCAGTCATGGAAAACTCTTGAGGGTAAACAGTACTACAAGGATATTGGTGGAGAACATGTCATGAAACAATCAGAAGAAGAAAAAGAAGGAGCTCTCTTGGAAGAAGTATCACTCAAGGGTATTTGCAACTTGGTCGACATGGAAATTGATCGTCAAAAATGGCGTAGTGAAATGTCATCGGTAGCCTTTGACTACAACAAGAACAAGAAATCTGCGGACGCTTCCGAGGCCGAACAAGGGATTGGAAAGCCATTGCCACCGATTCAACGAGACAGCGCCTTTTTAGCTGGAGGATGGACTGCATCTGCTGCACAACAGAGACGAAAGCTTGCTCTTGATGGTGGAATGGCAGTTACCAAGCTACGATTGCGGAAGAGTGGAGACTAAGCGTGCTGAGGGCTAACCAGTATGGGCATCCAATGATGTACAACGGTCATATATCGAAAGTTATCAGCACATATTTTTTTTTAAAGCCCTAATAGAATAGCGTACTCGACTAATTTGGAATCATGTATCCGTTAATACTAGTTTGTGGCCCATGAAAAAGTGGGTCGAAACTTTTGCCCGATTGGTCTCCCGCTTATTATTGTTGAAGCATGTGTGACTTTGGCGCGCTATCAACGTTGATGTCCGGCTCGGCATTTGCAATGCACAAAATCGGTTGATCTTCGTCCAACTGAAGTTTACTATGAGAAAGTACTGAATTAGTGAAACAATCAATTAGGCGGCAAAAATGAATTTCAATTTTGAACGGAAATTTGGTCCGCGGGAAAGAGGTGCGCACGTGCCCATCATACGCGTTTTCTTCGGGAGCGGCCAATATCAGAAGTTATTCAAGCACCACAGTAGTTGTTTTCAAGACTTGTTCAAAACTTAAAACGTGTGTGTATTGTTGGACGAGAGACTAGAGTGGTTCATCAAGATCAATCAAGAAATATTAGACCGATCAATCTAAAGTCTATACCATGATGAGAAATACTTTCCTTATACTGCTGTCGCTGTGCCTAAGCACGAGAATAGCGAATGCCCAACTGTCACTAGCACAGAGAATCAAGGGGTTTAATATGAATGATGTGAAGGTATGTAGTGTATTGTGAAGCATCTTTACTTTTAAAGACTCTAATCGCATGATACTAACTGCTATTCTTCTATGCAACTAAACAAACAGAATGAACAAAGAGCTCCCGTGGTACAGAATGATGTTGATACAATGCAAGTAGTAATTTCAGTTCCAGAAGTGAAGGTGGTGCAACGAAAAAAGTCGGACTCAACGACGAAAAGTGCGACGGCTCCACATGCCCCATCTCCAACTGCCCCACATCCTCCATCATCGGAGAAGGGCAAGGGAAAGGGCGACTCCACGAAAATACACACAAAGAAATCCACAACAAAATCGGACAAGAAGGATGATAAGAAGAAGAAGATTACACTGCCGCCAACAATGCCACCGACTCCACCCCCAACGCCGTTGCCTACAATGCATCCAACTTTGGCTAGTGCTAGCTGTAGTGGTAAGGGAGGTAAAGGGGGCAAAGGGGGCAAGGGTAGTTCCAAGAAGAGTAGCAGTAGCAGGCGGCAGCTATCATCAAGCTCAAGCGGTAAAGGAGGTGGAAAGGGAGGGTCCAAAAGTTCCAAAAAGTGCAGTAGTAAGGGAAGCAAACGTAGCAACATGAGCGGCGGAATGCATCCAGGCACTGTTCCAGTGACGGTTCCCGGTGGTATTCCAGTGGTTCCAGTGACGGTTCCATTGTCACCCATTCCAATCGCTCCAATTCCTCCACTACCAACCACAGGAGTCAGGTTGTCCAAGAAGAGTAGCATTACCAGTGCCATTGAACGAGACCCTGTTCAGATTGTTGCCCCGGCGAATCCACCACCTAGTGGATTTGTTGTAGCGACACCCTCTGCACCATCAGGGGTCACGGGAAAGAACTCCAAGAGAAGGAAATTGTACTAGGAAGGGAAACTACAGTAAAAGTGTGGCACATGAGGGAATATTATTAGATGGGAGTTGTATTTTAGTTCAAAGCTAGTTGAAAAAGAACAATATACTAATGTTATTTCTCTAGATTTGCACCAATCCCTGTTTGTTGGTACGAGGTACCTGTATGATTGGAGAATGGGAGAGTTACGGTACCGGTAGGATCAACCGATGGTGTAATCAATCTTGCTCTCCTCTGCATGTCGGCACATTTTTTAGTACGCGAAAATTCTTAGAGTCAATCTATTTCCTTCGAATCGAACCATTCGACTCGGAGTCGGGGCAAAAAAATTGGATCGGACATTCTGAACATGGCGGTAGTCCGCGTGGTAGGCTCGCCGGTTTCTGTTGCAACGAAACGATCTGGAGCTATGCACGTGTCTGGCGCCTCTGATGGCTTCAGATAAACACAGACACGATATTTCAGAGTGTGCGTGGCCGTAACCGCGCGGTACCAGAGATTCACTCTTGGTAGAATGTACTAGTGGATCACGATCCTAAATGGCCGTGATCACTTTCTAGCTAAAATAATGTTGTTTTTAAATGTTTGAAGATTTTTGACACGGCCGGCATGCTGCTTTCTTAAATGTTTTTAATCGGGGAACCGCTCCATCGCATAAAGGTCCAAGAAGTTTCAAACCGAAATCAATCTTCAATCTATTTTCAATTCGTTGTGGCGACATTGAACATGAGGGGCAGGATGGTTTCTTTTAATTCCCTTTGGATTGCTGCGCTTATTCTTGTCACCAATGGCGTAAACGCCGAAAAACCAGAACATGGATCTGGGTTTAAAGTGCGACATGTAAGCTACTTCACGCTTTTAACCTGTGAGATGGTTTCTTGTATATTGGTTCACCTTGCAAATGATGTACGTTTTGACACCTCCTCTTATACACAACCTTGTACAGAACTTGAACCGTGGCCAAAGGCGTCGGGGACTACAGGTCGACTATTATAACAGCAAGGGAAGCAGCGGCAAGGGGAGCAGCGGAAAGGGGAGCAGCAAGGGTACCCCAAATCCAACACCCATGCCCACTCCTCCTCCAACAGCTGGACCAACTCCTTCTCCCACACCTCCACCAACTCCAGGACCAACTCCTCCTCCCACACCCCCACCAACAGTTGGACCAACCCCTCCTCCAACTCCTCCACCAACAGCTGGACCAACTCCACTACCAACTCCACCTCCTACAACTGGACCAACTGAGGCTGTAACTTTCCAGTCGTTTATCCGAGTGGAAGTCGCAACATCGGATGGTATGAATCTCAACCAACAAGCTATTGATAACCTGGTGACTGGGACCGTCAATATTTACAACGCTGAAAAAGACAACTGCGCAGATCCTTTCTCCAGACGAATGACGGGTGCCGAAATCTACTCGGTTGCTCCTGCAGGCAGACGCCTGAATCGAAACATTAGCAACAGGAAAAAGGTTACAACGGGAAATCATGCAAAACGCAAGTTGCAGAATCTCAATATTTTCGTATTTTTGAGAGTCAATGGTGAATGTAATGGATGTCGAAACAGGCCGTTCTTCTTTAACCAAGTTGTCGACCGTCGTGATCTTCAACAATGTACTATTGTGACAACTGGCGCTTGGCTGAACACCTTTAACGGTGCCGCACTAATGGGGGCTTATGGAAACATCATCAGCGCCCAATCCATCAAGGATGTTTCAGAGCCATCGTCGGTGAAGTCGTCGAAGGTGAGCTATATAAACGACTAATTGAATCAATGAATGCATGAACCATCGGCATTTTGGGGGTGGAATAATTGGATCAATACAACAACACGAATCTTCTCACCAACTGCCCGCTTTTTCTTTAGAAATCGAAATCGCGAAGAATGTAAGGAGGGTGACGACGTCGATGATGATCACGGTTATGATTCTATTCGAGTCGATCTCTACACCTACATAGTCCCATGAGCGAATAGCAGTGTCTGGGCTCTACTGCAACGCTTGCTGGGTTGTTAGATTTTTTGTTTTAGTAAAATGCACATCTTTTCATCTTTTCTCCGCCTTCTGATGAGGTGAATGACCATAGATACCTCCCAAGGAGCAAGCAACGGCTCAATTTTTGGCGAGACGTTGGAATTTGAGCACAATTGATTTGCTGCTTTATTTCTTACTCGGCCGGTTCCTGCGATGTTATTTTTATGAGATTAATATGTTTTCATCATCCGCAGCTTCTTCTTTTAGACGAGGATGTACTGCGAGATGACTTAAGTGCTGGACGAGCATTCAACTTTCTCCTACAACATGAAGCTTCACCACGAAGGAAGTGTTCGTTAACAATAAAGAATCATCATGAATCATGAATCATCGATAAGTGCCCGTTATGGCGTCTGTGCGCAGTCAGGGATTTGGTTCCGACCACCATTTTCTTCGTTTCACATTTTCGTTTTGGATAGAAAGTGGTCAAAACGACGACTGTTACAAGGACAGCATGAGACGTTCCAAGAGTGACCCTGCGAAATATGCTCGAAACTACAGAAAGATTTCGCAGCGGCGAATGACTCAGTATGATCACATTGATGAGGAATCCGAAATGACAAGGCTGAGGTCAATCCTTCGAAATTCTGAAAAGACAACGGATTTGGTCGAACAAGCGGAAGAAGAGACTTCCTCTTCGCAAGGCAAACGCAAGCGAAAATCCAACAAGCTGACCAAAGCTGACGAACCAGAAGATATGCAATCGTCGATATTGTCCAATGATCTTTTGCTGGAATCTGGAGACTATGGGGCCGAAAATCCACTAGTTGTTCTGCCAAAGAAGAAAAAGAAGAAAAAAGAGTCGAAAAAGATTATTCAACTGACACCAGAAGAAATTCGGGAAGCCAAGATTCTTCAAAAGAAGACTGCAAGAAAGCTACAACAACTGGAAACTAGAGCTGCCCAAAAGATAAAACGAGCTGAGTTGTATAAAACGTTGCAAGAGCATCAATTGTCGAAAGAAAAGCTTGATATGTTGTCGTCATCTGGTACTGTCTCTCGAAAGAATGTCAGCACCAAGAAGCAGACTTTACAGCATCTAATAAAGAGGGAACGTGCTGGGCTTGTTCTAAACGAAAAAGAAAAATCGATTCTTTACAAGACCAAAGATGTGGACGAAGATGACATGGAAATGGATTCCAACACACTAGAGCAAGCGGCAGCAGCTACCACGACCACCAAACCGAGAAATAAAAAATCCAAGACGCAAGAGCGCAAATTCAGAGGATTGGATGGAGTACCTGCTGCCAATGAGCTGGAACCAGAAAATGACAAGATTGACGATCCAGTTGATGAAGTCATTTCAACTGAAGAAGCAGTTGATGATCCAAATAAAGAATCAAAAGAAGGATCGAAAGATGTCACAAAGGAGGAAGAAGATAAGGCTGCAAAGGAAGCAGATGCTCCATCTATTGGGTTTAATTTTGCAGCACAAATGATGGCATCATTGTCGAAGCTAAAGGCAGAAAACGACAACAACCCAGCAGAGGAAGCAGAGCCAAATGATCTTGACACACTTGCAAATTCTGCCGAACCTTCAAAGAGATATGTCGTATCAGAACCAACAGTGCTCAAAACAGCTGCGGCAATGAGAATCAAGGGATCAAGCATGGAATCCAAACGTCGGGTAGTACAAATCAAGAGACCAAGCTCGGTGGAGAAAGCTCGATACGACTTGCCAGTTTCTACTATGGAGTATGAGATCATGGATTCCATTCGAAATAATGATGTCACTATCGTTTGTGGAGAGACAGGTAGTGGAAAGGTAAGCAAGCGTAGGGTTTTGAAGAATATTCCCGGTAACAAGCCTCTCATGCTTCTCTTTGCTCCAGAGTACACAAGTCCCTCAATTTCTGTACGAAGGCGGACTATGCTTGAATCCGAATGATCCAGATTCACAATATTTGATTGGCGTCACACAGCCACGAAGAGTAGCTGCTGTTTCTACTGCAAAACGTGTCTGCTATGAAGTAGGAAAAGGAGACGGGCAAACGATCAAGAACCAAGGCAAACGTGGAAATTTGGTCAGCTACAAGACGAGATACGAGAGCGCTGGCGCTGGTTCAGACACTGCTATCCAGTTTATGACCGATGGTATTCTCCTTCAAGAGATTCAAGAGGACTTGTTGCTGCGCAAATACTCTGTCATCGTGCTTGATGAGGCCCATGAACGCAATTTGAACACTGATGTTCTCATTGGTCTTCTGTCCAAGACAATCCCTCTTCGACGACAGGCAGCAGAAGAGAGTTCCGACCTAGTTCCACTCAAGCTTGTATTAATGAGTGCCACTCTTAGAGTGGAAGACTTCACAAAAAACGTGAGCCTCTTTCCGAGCTGTAAACCATTCGTTGTGAAGGTGCCAGGAAGAACATTCCCCGTGTCGATTCACCACAGCAAAGTGACGGAGATTGACGATTATCGTAAGTTGCATATACTTTTTATTTTGTCGACAGGAAATGAAGAATCACTTACACCATTCTTTAGAAAACGCTGCGTTCAAGAAAATTTGTAAGATCCATCGTAAGCTTCCACAGGGAGGAATCCTTGTGTTTCTGACCGGAAAACACGAGATTCTTCGCATGGTGAAGCGTCTCAGGAAGGTACTTGGGTCTTCTACTGACATCCAGGGGAAGACAAATAGCAATCGTGCCGAAGTTGACAAATCAATACTAAAGAGTAACAATGAGGGCATTCCGCGAGAACTTGATGACGAAGATTTTGACGCAGACGAGGGTGCAGCGGATGATTATGATGAATATGCAAATGATGAAGAGGATGTTGTTGCTCCTGTGGAAAGCGACGATGATAATATCCCGAAGAATGCCTATGTCTTGCCTCTGTATTCTCTTCTTTCACCAGAAGAACAAGCTAAGATATTCGCACCAGTACCGGAAAACAACAGGCTGATCGTGATTTCGACAAACATTGCGGAAACGAGTATTACTATTCCTGGCATCTCGTACGTAGTCGACACGGGACGACAAAAATGCAGAAACTATAGTTCTGGTACTGGCATTGCTTCCTATGAAGTTATGTGGATTAGCAAAGCAGCTGCCGATCAGCGAGCGGGTCGTGCTGGACGTACTGGACCAGGACATTGCTATCGTTTGTATTCAAGCAGCCTTTATTCACGCCACATGGACTCGTTTGCATTGCCCGAAATCTTGACTCGGCCACTTGAGGATGTTATTCTTGCGATGAAAGCTCTGAATGTATCACACGTCTCCAATTTCCCATTCCCCACACCACCAGATCGGTCACAAGTCAATGGTGCATTGAAACTTTTATCAGGTTTGGGGTGCGTGGATATGTCGGATGTTGAAACAGTAGGTGGTGATGGCAATGTGACAAAACTTGGTCAAGCGGTAGCAAAACTTCCGCTTGGTGTTCGATATGCAAAAATGCTGCTCGTCGCAGCACACGCTGGCGTTTTGGACTATGCGATCGTCGTTGTTTCGATTCTCTCGGAATCAAGTCCGTTTTACCATGCTTCTCAAGAGGAAGACAAGGATGAAGACGGCGAAGAGGATGGGGATGACGATTCTTTAGATGATGTTGATAGACATCATGAAGAAAAGCAGGCCCTTTCAAAGAAGAGAGAAAAATTGCGTCGCTGGAATCACAAGCATGGTGACATCATGGCAGCAATGCTTGCAGTTGGAGCATTCACATATGCTGGTCGTGATGCAGGGGGGCAGTCAGAGAAACTTGCCTGCAAGAGATTTTGCGAAGAAAATGGATTGGACTATGTGATCATGACTCGAATTCAGAAGATGCGGGCCCATTTGGCAAGTCTTGCAAAGAATCGATTGAGCGCTGCTGGTGGTGTAGCGGCAAGAACTGGCGGTTTCGTATCCAAGATGAAGCCGCCGAGCAAGAACGAAGAACTGTTTTTGGTGCAATCCATCGTCTCTGGTCTGCTTGATAATGTTGCGTTGCTGGCACCTCCAGGATCAATGTCTGGAGAGCATAAATTTGGATTGAGATCTGCCTATCTGTCGTCTTCTGCAGCCATCAAGCAACCAATGTTCATCGATCGGAACAGCACGGTATACTCTCGAGACTACCGACAGTTGCCTCAGTTCGTCTGCTACGACTCCCTCATTAGCAAGACTAATAAGGATGGCACTCCAGTAGTGCTGATGAAGAATGTCACGCCTCTTGATTCGAATTGGTTGGGCGATCTTGCGAAAGGGAGCAATCTTCTTTCTCTAGGCGAACCACTTTCATCGCCACCGCCTACCTATGATGCTGGCAAGGATGCTATTATTTGTTCTGTTGTGACCAAATTTGGTTCTCGCGGTTGGGAGATTCCACCGGCCAAGAGAGTCATGTCGGAGGTCTTGAGTCGAACGGAAGTCAGACGAGGAGCAGATTTCCTTGCCGATGATAGCTTCCGTTGGTTTGCAAAGTTTTTGCTAGAAGGAAAAGTGATTCCACAGCTGGAGCCTCTGAAGGATCTCTTCAGCGATAATCCGGTTGTAATCACCCAAAGGAGACCAATGGTCAAAGTGACTATGCTAGTCAAAGCTCTGACTGAAGCACGAGTGGATAGTGCATTCGCCCTGAAGCAGCATTGGGCGGAAAAGGACGATAAGTTTCTTTTCAAGGCCTTAAAGCATTGGGTAAAGAAAGAGCACCATTCCACTGCAAAGTCGATTTGGATCAAGACAGTGAAGACAAGTATCAAATCTTGGAAGTCAGAATCATAAATACAAGTGCAATGTACTAAAGATATCAGTGTGCTATGTACAATTTAACTTCAAAACAATTAGACGCATCGCATCCTAGCTATTGCGAACTTTTTCTACAGTGTTAGAATTGTTCCAATTGAATGCGATTTGAACCTTTTTAGAAGGATCCTGTAGCTGCGATACCGCATAGTCGCTTGACGTAATCATAGATCAGAAGTTGAAGGGTGACAATCACACCAACATGGACCATTCGTGTTTTGAACCCAACAAAAAAGCCACCGATACCTTCGTCACTTTTAAGGATACGCCGGAAAATGTCAGTGGGTCGTTCCTCTCCTTCGCTGGCGTTAATTAGACTCAATACCATGTCGCCGGGTTGACTAGTTATGCAAGACATGATGCTTGCGACAATGGCGGAAACAAGTGGGACCGTGAACTTCATTCCGGCAGTCATTGCCACGTTCTGTGCTCTCATCATTGCATACAAGGAAGTTGTAAAGATGTCAAAAGACACATTCTTTGTAACAGTGTATGGAACTTGCTTCAGAATCATAGGATTCAGACCTTTGGCCAATCCTGCAATCCCCTCTCGTCTGAGAATTTCCTGCCCTCCTTTTAGGAAGCCATCGGGGGCAAAATCGGGATCAGCGACCATTCGAATCCGAAGAGCCTCCATTGGGCATAGCATGATCGAAGCTGAGAAACCTGACGCTACTCCTGAAATCATGAATGCCAACAACGATGAGTTGAAGAAACCGATAGATGTTGTGGTTGACAGTCTGGAGAGGACGGACTTGATGATTGGCTTCAGCACTTCGTACACCCCAAACTTTACTGCCCCCTCGATTAGGTATCCAAAGAAGGTCGGTCCTAGCCCAGACCAAAGAACACCCATGCCTTCTTTCTTGACGAGTCTCCGAGTCGCCTCCAAAACGTCAACACCTACTAGGTCGGGATCAATTTGTTTCCGAGTCTAGGATCACAGAGGAATGAGATCGAATTCTCGGCAAATTGAAACATAAATGGCTTATCTTCTCAGACTTACCTTAACAACGTCAATCGGTGTCGGAATGGCATGTGACACAGCGGCGCAAACGCCACCTGCCAAGAAATACCTCCAGCACCCAGCCGATGCCATGCTTACGAGACTAAGTAATGCTGCAATTCCAAGACCACCTGAGATGGCCAACAATATCTTGTCCTTCACTGATATGCTGTTGGTGTCTTCTTGGCTTGTACAGGCATGTGGTTGGACAATTTCTTGCACAATTTCTTGCATCGGCGGGTGTGCGTCGTCACCGAGCTCAGGAGAGGTGCCATCACCTGAGAATAGAGCGGCAGTTCTCAAAGAAGTAGGACAAGAATCCCTCCGTCGTCCTTCGTAGAATGGGTTTTGGGGAATTCGGATAGCGACTGGATCTAGGCCAACCGACAACCTCGTGTTGAAGCTCCTTTGAAAGGCATGAGAACTGCTTATGATTGAAGTCAACACTACTATCCTGGTCAACCTCGTTGCTCTCCTGGTGTTGCCCCGAGCATAGCTATTTTTCCTGTCTGATTGCGAAGTCATTGTTGACTTGGCTATACAATGATAATAGTGCTTTGGTTGAAGTTGGTATCTGCAGAGATAAAACTGACACCAACAATATGTTTTTGTCAAGCGAAGCATGCCTTCCTTGCCAAAAGCATCTTGTCGAAGCCATGGAACACGTATGCAGATGTGGTTTTCTGGTTCCCATTTTGAAACTAATGCAGCTCTTTTTGAAAGTTTGTGTTTTGATTTGTTATGGTTTTTAAAATTAAAATACTCGTTAGCTTCCAAAGAAAACACATGTTTTCTTGCACTTCTTCAAGCCACAGGCATTGCATTTCCCTGTTCCTCCCTTGGTACTGAGTTTTGCTTCCTCCTTCTTCATCTGTTCTTCGGCCTTTTGTTTCTTTTCCTCTTCGATTCTCAGCTTTTCAAGCTCTCTCGTTGCATCCATGGCTTCCTTGAATTTCTTTCGCTCTTCTTCTTCCTTCTTTTTTGTTTCTTCCTCCTTCAGGCGCGCCGCTTCCCTTTCTTCTTCAATTCTCTTTTGCTCTGCTTCAACCTTTGCATTTTCTGCAGCAAGGATCACAGCCTCGGGTACTTGTTGTTCCGACTCCTCTTGGTATCTGTCACCCAACGCCTTGGTCAAATTGGCAAGTGCCCTCAAGGCTTCATCACGGATTTCTTCAAATTGAACATTTTCAGAAACCTTCTTGAGTTCTGGAACCAACAGTGGCCCAAAGGGGGCAACGTCGTCAGGGGTTCCGACCAATCGACTCATGTTGGAAATGACAACACAGGCCGAGCGCTTGTGAATGGCAAGTTTTTCCTTGAGAGCACGTGCTAATACTGGACAAAGAATGGACAAAGCAGGAGCATCGACTGGAACCACAAAGGTGGTTCCCATCAATTCTTGAACAGCCTTCATGGTGTCGGATGGTTTGCAAATGGCATTGACAACAGCTGGGATGGCAGGTTCGACATCGGCATTGGAACACGTATAACAAACGGCCAAGAGAGTGGCGGCAGCAGCCTTGGTGACTTGGGCTTTGGTGTCCCAGACTTGATCTGTACAGGCGGGAATAATGGTTGGAAGCAAATTGCAAACTTGCGATCGGGCGGTGGTGGCGCATTGTGCCAGCAGATCCAAACCGTTTGCTTTGACTCTCCATTCCTTGGATTTGAAGGATTGGAGCAATAGAGGACAGATCAACGATGGGAAGGCCCAGGGGTTGGCAAGTTGTACCAAAGATGTGGAAGCATCTTCAGCAGCTTCTCGGATCTCACCCGAAGAACTACCGCATTCGTCCAGAGCCGCCGCCAAGAAGGCTCCGACAACATATGGTTCTGCCTTTTTGCCTAGAATTTCGCAAAAGGCTCGAATCAACAACAACGAACCTTCTCTTGCGGTCGCGGGTGTGGTCTTGCCACGTTTGGAATCGGTCCCCATACTACCCCCTGCTATTGACGACTCCAGAGTATCAGCAGTATTATCCAAACTTGTTAGACTCAAGGCAGACGCACTGGCTTTGAGTCCAGATGTACTTTCTTCGCTCGTCCCAAAAATGGTGGCAATTCCTTCCGGAAACAGCATTAGTTGCATTTGATTAATCACTTCGCAGTCTTTCAATACAAATTTAACTCCCAACTCTTTGGCAGCAATCGCAACATCAGCAGCTGCATTGCCTCTGTCTCTGGTGGTACTTGCGGCGCGTGGTTTGCTCGAGCCGACGAGTGATGGAGATTCTCCCATGGCTTGACGACACAAGTCTGTGACTTTTTGCTTTTGTGCATTCTTATCGAGTCCCTTCAATTCGGCGATGGCAGCAGGTGTGGCTAGTGCACTAGGCTTCAGCAAAACAATCTGCTTCTTCTTTCCAGCGGCGGCCTTTTTCTTGGGGCCACCCTTGGCCCCGCGGCCAATGCCAATTTTGGTAGTCTTGGCAGCGACCTTTCTGGGCGCCCCCGAGGATGCAACTTTGATCTTGGTGTTGGCATTGATGGAAGCCATTGTATTATTGTTCAAGTAATAAATGTATGTAATATGAATATCCAAACTAGGTATGAAGGATAGGAGCAAGACTTTTTTGCAATAATGGAACCGAACAAAAGAAAAAACCGTGGATGAGTGAATTCTGCCTTTGATGGATGGGTCGAGGTTTTCGTTTTCCAATTTTAATTTTTCGAATGCATGGAGTTGCGTTGGACCACGTACACTTTTCTCATGAGCAAAGGACAGACCTTCGGTACAAAGGCCAGACCAGACGTCCAAAAAACGATGACGCCAAAAAAAGGGGCAGTATAGAAATTTAGCCAAAACTGCGTCAGCAAGTGGGGAGGCACCGCAGAACAAGTGTCGTGTTCTCCACACCCCCAAACACGACGACGTAGCCTGCAAATCTGCGCCACGTGATTTTCGGTGGTTTCCCTCACTTAGGACTACAGAGCAAAGAACAAGCACAGAAGTTGTCAAAACTGTGGTTTTCAGTCAAGCCTTCAACGTTTCACATCCTCCCCACATTCTTCGCACAAGATTCCCGTTGCATCACCATTCTCAATTCACTATCACTCACTCCTGACGAACTACTCACATCGTCCCAGCAACAAGGGCAATGAAAGGTGGAGGATTCATTGAGGAAAAGGCAATGATCACAACCCGAATACATCCACTTAACGCTTTTCGAACGGTACCGCCACCTTCAAAACCACTGTTGCGAAAAAGGGTATCATTTGAAGCCGATGCAACTGCAATTCCACACTGTTGTGGCCGATCCAATGAAGATATAAAGACGTGCTGGTACTCCAAGAGAGAGCTGGCAATAGGATGTAGAGAAGCCAAACAAACAATTGCGCTGATACAGTCTGTGAATGGAAACTGGAACTCGATTGATCACTCGCGAATATGCATCATCGGATTGGAGAAGTTTCACGGCAAGAAGGAGCGAGACGCCAACAAGAAATTGCTAATAAAGTCCGTGCTGATACGGCAAGAAATGAACAAAAACCTCGGCCTGATACAAGAAAAAACCAACGGGCTGAAAGAGATTTCCACCATGATCTCTGCCTCCTTCAAGGAGTACGCTCGATGGCAAGCGGCAATGCACATGGTGCACGCATATGGAAGTCAACCCTCATCCTGTGCGCCACCGCCACCGCCATCAACACAATTATCATCCGTGAATTGTAACGATAAACGATTGCGGATTGATCTCACCACTGCACAAACAACCAAGAATCATCAGCCTACTATGGCACCACCCATGAATAATAATACGCCAAAACCGCTGATACAAACGCTAGAGGGATGTACAAATACTACAAATACAAAGCGAATAAAGAGATACCACAGATGATGAAGGTCACTACTGTATATAAAAGACCATTTATCCATCTAGTATAGCCTATTCCTCATGATTATTATTGTTGTAGATAGACTCTTCTAAAAGGTAAACAGGTAGAAGGGCTATACGCTACGGGTACCGGTAGGAGTCAAAGTAATACGTCATGGCGTCGTCAATCCCGTCAGTCCCCACAGGTCTATCTTATCATTGTTCTCCGAGCGCGGTGCAGCGATCAAGTATCCGATCAAGTATCCGTTGGAGCGGAATTTTTTTTTGAATTGGTTTCTATTTCATTAACTCGTGACCCTTGTGCCTATATATCTCTCGGATAGTAGCTGGTATCAAAGTCCCAACTTCTTTCTCTTCCTTCAACAGCAAGTTGAACATGCATGATCACTGAGGACTACTGTGCCTGAACGCAGGGTACCGGGTACCAGCACTACTTGCGGTTGTCCCACTACAGTAGCGCAGACTTTAGTTGTTCTCTCTTCCTGCAAACTCAACCACAATCGCCAAAACTCTTTTGGAGCTGATTGTGGACCCTGTGCATTACGAATTCATACTTGCTCGGTCCCAGCATTGCGTAGGCCAAAGTTCCTTTATTATTTTAAAATATTGCTTGCTTGTTATCATACTATTATAAATCTCAGCATAATAAAATTGGACTTTTAATCCTTCTTTGGCGGAAGCTTCGTAATCTTACCAATAGCAATGGTCTTTCCCTCTGTTCGAAGAGTGAATCGGCCCAAGAATGGCATAGTTTCAAAGGTTTCCACTGGAGCCGATCGATCTAGTTCTAGCATGCACACGCATTGCATGCCTTCACTGGCAAATCGAGCGCCCTTCACGACGATGCCCTTGTTGTTGGTGGTCTCAAAAATCTTCGTGACCGTACATTCTTCTTCACAACAGTGGGCGTGGAATACGGCTTGGAAACCAGCCGTCAAGATGCGATTGTTGTCAGGCATGTCTGTCACAGCAATCTTACAGATAATCTTGTCGACGGCACGGCATGGAGGATCCGAGCAAATAACAAACCCTTTTCGGCAATCTTCCAATCCCGCTCCATTCAGTTTCACTAGAACATTCTCACCGGGACGAGCTCCCGAGACTGGATCTTCATTCGCCCATACACCATCGACCTTGTATTGATTCCCTGTTGGCATCAGAGTAACCATCATACCAGGTCGGACAATTCCACTTTCGACCTTCCCCATGGCAATAGTACCACGGTCGTTATATCTTTCCAAAACTGGAATACGAAGAGGAGCAGAGGGGTCACGATCCTTGATTTGTAAAGTATCGAATAGGTCTAAAAGTGTGGGGGCAGTAGTGTTGTTGGCTCCTTCGTTCCAACATTTCTTCCACCAAGGACAATCTGATTCTGAAACTTCATCCTTGACATTAGCACCATTCAATCCAGAGATTGGAAGGAACTTGACTTCTCTTTTGATGACAAACCCACAGCGCTTCAAGTAAGGGCGAATCGTGGTGACACATTCATCATAACGATCCTTGGACCAGTTCACAGTAGGGTCGTCCATCTTGTTGACTACCACTACCAAATAAGTAACACCCAATGTCTTGGCCAACATGGCGTGTTCACGAGTTTGACCTCCACGGTCGAATCCGGCTTCAAACTCTCCCTTACGAGCTGATACCACCAAGACACCAACATCGGCTTGACTGGCGCCCATAATCATGTTTGGGACATAGTTCTTGTGTCCGGGAGCATCCATAATGGTGTATCGCTTATCAGATGTTTCAAAATGGGCCTTTCCAACTTCCACAGTCTTTCCCTTGGCACGTTCTTCCTCATTGGTATCCATGATAAAGGCCAGAAACCAGGATTCTCGATTTCGTTCCTTGGCTTCCTTTTCATAACGCTCAATGGTTCGTTTGTCGACATTCTCGGTCAAGTACAAGATATTTCCCGACAATGTCGACTTTCCAGCATCAACGTGACCAATGAATACCAGGTTCAAGTGCTCTCTTGGATCCCCCTCCTGCAAGCTTGCTGGATCCACTTCTTCTCGTTCCTCGTCATCATCGTCATCATCGTCATCATCATCATCGTAATCTTCTTTTGGTGCAGGTTTTGGTTTTGGTTTTTCATCAATTTTCATTTTTTCATCCACTTGCTTGGCTAGATCACCGTCCGTTGACTTTTCCTTTTCCCAGTCATCCGTCTCCATGGCATCACCACCACCATCTCCAGAAGCCAAGATAGCTACGACTTCGGGGTATTTTGTCAGTGAATCCGGATTATTGATCATTTTCAAAGCACGTGCCCTGTCTCCTTCGGCAATCTTCAAGACCACCTGCCAAAGAGGGTCCTTCTCATCGATATCGGAAGCAGTGGAATCTTGATGGGCAGGAGGAGCCGGGGCGGGTTCCGGTGCTGGAGCAGGTGCGGCTGCTGGTGACGGTGTGGCTACAGTGAAACTAGGAGTACCTCCTGGCGTCCAGGAAGCAGCCCCAGCGTTGGGTTTCCATTCTGGCGCTCCGGCGTTCATTTGGTCTGATTGATTCTGCAATTGTAATTACGATGGTATTGGAGAGTAAAGGTTTTGTTTGTTAGACAGAACAGGGATCAGAACGAATAAGATGTTTGTGTAAATGTGTGTGTGAAAAGCCACAAAAGTTCACAGAAAGCGATGCAAATATCCTCGACGAAATACAATATACGTTCTAGCCAAAGGTCAACAAGACAGCAAGATCTTACCTGCAGATTTGAGCAGGTTTGGTTTACAAGAACAAGTAGGTTGTTCTAGTAGGCTATTACTGGTATTCCAAGGATGATACCAAAACCAATAAACACACCCAGTGCAAGTTTGCAAGAAATGAGCATCCGTCCTCCCTCCGGTCTACATACGAGTGGCCTACCACGAGATTCGATACGAAGGCCCCTTCGTTGGCTCTTACTTCTCAAGCCGCTCAAGCCATGAAAACCTATGAGAGCTGGCGGAGCACAGACAGACAAAAATATAGAATCGTATTGGTCAATTCACAATAATGGACGACTCGTAGGAGCCAGCCGGCTTGCGCTCAACTGTCCCACTTTCTTTTTTCAAACAAATGCAAGACGTTCAGTTGTGTGATTGTACTGTATGTGAACAAGAGACCAACCAAAACTAACAACGACGCAACAGTGGAGGTTGTCTGGAACACCAACATTACATCCATCGATTCGTGTTTCAGGTCCATCTCGTAGTTGTTGGAAGAATCAAATCTGGCAGCAGCAGCAAGATGAATCACGAATCATCATCAACGTCAGCTGCTTCTCCCAGCGCTAGAAGACCACAACAACACAACTTGTCCAACCAAGGTCGACAGAATCATCAACATCATCAGCATGGATCAGTTGTAAGACATACGCCACCTTCAGCGTATCCTCCGCCATCGTCCGCACGGACACCAAGGTCGCATGTTCGATATTCTGGCAATCACACACAACAATATTCATCACCTTCCAATCCCTATTACGGGTCTCCTTTTTCTTCCACACCGCCGCCTGCTAGCGCACGAAAACCAAGAGGGTCGCCACAACATACAACGCCGCGGCACAATCTACTGGATCGACAGGATTTTGATTCTCCGTTCATGTCACCTTCCGCTATAAATTCAATATCATCACCACAGAAATCAAGGCATCGGCCAGAACCATTGGTATTGGACCCCAGTACACCATCCTTTTCGACTCCTCCATCATCAGCAGCAACAGCAACCAATGCGACATCGAAACATCGTACACAATCCATTAGCCGAAGAAATAGTAGTGGCAGCAGTCATCGCAACGATAACAACAACAACTCCTCGGTTCCTGTGGTGAGCAAGCTGTTTCAGGCTGCCACCAAGGGCATGTCATCGTCGTCGTCTCCGGCTCGACCACACGGCAATTTGCACACGACACCCGCTGCTACGCAAGAATCATCTGCTGAACCAGCTTCCATCATGGCTCGGACGTCCTCTCAGGCTGGTTTCTTGCACAAATTGGGACGAAATATTCCCGAATTCAAACGGAGGTTTTTCGTATTGAAACCGGAAACTCGGCTGTATTATTATTTGTCTCCCAATGATACCGAACCAAGAGGCAAGATTGATTTGGAGGGGAGTCGGATTGAACCACTGGAAGAATTGCCGGATGGTCGGTTTCGGTTTGCTGTAATCTCGGAAGATTTTCATTATGGGGAAAGTCGGATAGTCTTGGAGTCGAGAAGCAAAGAAGTGGGATTGGAATGGATGAAGGGACTGAAAAATGAACGTGTCTCTGCATTGAAGGAAAATGTAGATCAATTGCATGGTGAGAAAAGGGCACTCAAGAATGTTATTCAAGATTTAGAAAAGCAGATTGACAATTTTCGAATGATGGAAAAAGATCGGGATGGTGCATTGGAAGACGCCCGTAACTGGAAGGAAAAATTCTTGGCTCTTGACGAAGCGATACGAGGATTGACCCAATTTGTACGCAAACCACCAGTGATTCCAAAGATGAAGCGGAAAACATCAGACGACGAGTTATCCAGCAATGATGATGATGATGAGGAGGAGGAACATGTGCTGGAAGAGGAGAAAAAGGTCGAGCATGCAGAGGAAACCACAGATCCACCAGCAGATGCCAACGATGTCACCGTCATTACGAGGAATCATAATGACATGAAGGAGAGCTCTGAGGAACTTGATTTTTCTGACATGGAAAAGTTGAAAGATGTACCTGGAACGTATTTTTCTAGTCTTTCCAATGCCTGCCAGCAGCAACGAGAACTGTTCCGATTGGCGTCGATTGAAGCTGCAACCGCAGTCGAAGATGTTTTGGAGTCTAATGAACGGGTGGAAGCAATAGGAAAGCGTATGGAGAAGGCGGAAAAGCATCTCACCAAGTTATGGGAAGAAAATTGTTCCATTCGAAAGAATCTCAGACAACGAAAGCAGGAAAAAAAGCTTTTGGTGAAGGAAGTAAAATCACTCCAGCAAGCCAATAAAGAATTGGAAGACAGAGCACTCCGTACTCCCATCGCCAATCGTTATTCGCCATCTTATGACGCTAATGCCCATTCGAATGGCATTGGAAATGAAGGAGAGCGTTTGCTGAATGAGTTGGAAGATCATGTCTCCTCCAGTATTCGTCTCCATGAACGTTTGGTGGCTGGAAGTGTGTTGGACAATGTCGATGCCATGGCTCTGGACAACAGCGTCGAAGTTACCGAGATTGCCTTTTCGAGCTCTCCCGACAAGCTGAGTATTGCCGCGACTGCAACTGAAGACAGTGAAGCACCTTCAAAACAAGAGAAAGAAGTCAATCCGAATACTCCAGGTGCAAGTTCCAGGCTACAGTCTCTCTTTGACGACGATGAGTCGGAACTGGAAAGCGAAAGCGAGATTGCTGGAGGTGATGGCGATGGTTTGAACGAGTACGAGTCGGTCGCCCCAACTGTATCTTCTGCTGGAGCCACCATGGGTGAAATTACTGAATTGATTCTACCCGAAATGGAATCTCCAGGCAGAGCAATGTCCCCGCTGCGCCAGAATCCAGTGCTGAAATTGGATGCTGATGATGAAGACGATGTCTCCCACATGGGATCCACCAACTCGGATGGACCAAGGTCAAAGGTCACTCACAATGGTCAAGCAACGTCGAGATTGGTCTGTCCTCTTGCAGATGTGGTGGAAAGCAAGACTGCGGCAAAGTCGGAGACGGGCGAGTTCAATGTCTATCACATCTCCTTTTATTCGAAAAAGATTGGGATCCAATTTCAAAAGGCGCCTCCAGCTCCCAAGAAATCTCGCGGGCTTCTCACGGATGCCATGACTGCCGACTTGGACGACAAGACCAGTGGTTCTGGAAAGACGGCTGCAGAGCTGACCACAATTGCATCCATTCATTCTTCAGTCGCCTCTGGTAGTAACAAGGAAGGCGATGTTTGTGTGATTGCTGATCCCAAGGATATTGTTCTTGTGTGCGGTTTTGAAGGATTTGACGACTCCAATGCTAACCAACGACCCAAGCTCGGTGCTCGTCTTGTCGCTTTTGATGGCATATCTGTAGAAGTTGGACCATGGACATTTGACAGCATCCGGAAGGGTATCCAGGCTCGTGGAAGGCCGCTGACCTTAAGCTTCCGAAACGACTTCCTTACCACAGAGCAACGAGCAGTCCTAACCAAAGCTGTCGGGGATATGGATGTAAAGCGGCCACCACCAGTGGAAACCATTCCACGATCGTCTCACCATAGCTTACCAAAAACGAATCAGATCCATCGACGTATACACAGACGTGGGTCAGTGAACTCAGCTAGGTCTGATGAATACGACCACTTTGTCAACGAAAGTCCAAAAGAAATGTTGAACATTTCCGATGCAGTTAACCCGAAGAATTGTTGTCATGGATCAGCATCTAGCAGCCTTGCTAGTCGCATCAAACGAACTGGCTCCATGAATAGTGGGACTGACTCTGCACACAGCAACTTGAGATCCTTTAGTGAGACGGGATCCTCCACCATTTCCGCTGCTGTTGCTCCACTGGTTGCCAAACTGATGAAGGGTGTCAAGGCCAAGAGAGAAAAGGAAAATTATACCCCTGTTTACCTACAGCAGTCGCCCAAGTCGTTGGAGAGCACACCCCAACACCAAGATTTTCATTCTAATCTACTTTAATTCATACAACTTAAAGATTTTGAAACCACCTGAATTTTGATGATCCAACAACTTTACCGGTAGAACAGGAGGGGTTAGAAAAGGACGAAATAAATCAAATCAAAATGCTTGGATGGTTTGACCAATTTGAATGGTGGTGCATTGGACAACATCCGGGTGAAGAACCACGTCAATGCCGATTGAATGCTGGCAGAGTATCTTCTGACACCAGGAGACGTTCAAAGACACAACAACACACGACACCGCTGACTTGTCCATTCCCAAAACGGCTGGATCACAAGAGATTCAGTTCCCTTCCAGCATTGTTTTTTTTAAAAGCGAGGAAAAATTATGAAGCTACAGTCTTGCATCCTGCTGACACTGACACTCGAACGAGGATGTGCCTTTGTGCAAAATGCGCAAACCTCACAGCGAGTTATTGCAACTTGTGATGTACCCTCCAAGACGACATTGTTTGCCGATCTTTTAGCCGAAGAAGGGACTTGGCAGGCTTATTTGGATGAAGAAAGCACTGGCCTTATCTATTATTTTGACAGTGCCACGGGGCAGTCTCTTTGGGAGCCACCCACCGATACCTTTCCCGAGGTCAAATTGCCACGAAAGAAACAACGATTGGCCGACGACTTGCGTCGGGAGTACCGTCAATCATTGGGGCTAGACGATAATGGAGAGAACGACTCCAGCTGGTTTTCGGGTCTATTTGAACGCGGAAACCAAGAAAGCGTAGCAGAATCCGAAGCAGTAGTAGAAGAAGTAGCAGAGGAAGATGTTGAAGAGGACGAGTCGACACCTGCATGGCCGCTCAAGGGAATTAAATTGAACCTCCAGCAGCAAGCAGACGAGGAAAGTATGGTGAAAGTAGAAGAACCAAAGGAAGCAGAGAGCCAAATACCCAAACCTTGGTTCGGAAACATTGGGGCAAAAAAGGAAACTCCTGTAGAAGTAGAAGAAGAAGCCACAGAGGCAGAGCCAAAGAGCGGCTTTTTTGGTGGACTTTTCGGTGGCATGTCAGCAGCCAAGGCAGAAGTACAAGAAGCAGCAGAAGTGAAGAAAGAGCCAAAGCCAGTTGATAAGAAGGAAGTCAAACCAAAATCGAGTAGTGTCCTTGATGCGCTAAAACCCACTGCGTTGGACGACAAGAATAAAGTCAAGAAAACTGCGGAAACTCAAACTCCCAAGCAGAAGAAAGACCCGAAGATTAGTGGTAATGTCAAGAAGGCCATTCCTACTCCGTCTTTAAAGAATGGGAAGGAGGTGAAGGTGGAACCCATCCAGATCGAGATGGCATCCAATATTATTCCTCACCCTGCCAAGATCTTGTGGGGAGGCGAAGATGCCGTCTTTACCAAGGGAAGATCCTTCGGTGTCTTTGATGGTGTCTCGGGAGCCAGCAAGAAAGATGGTGTCGCACTCTATTCGAGAACGCTTGCCAATGAAATGAAGAAGCGAGTTGGAAATGAAGGATTGAATGTTCCAGAAATGACCAAATACCTGACCGAGGCTGCTGATATTGCTGATTCCCAAGCAACTGGTGCTTCGACTGCTGTCGTGGCGTCCATCGGTGAAAATGGATTCTTGCAAGCGTTGAATGTGGGCGACTCTTGCTGCATGGTTATTCGCGACGGAATGGTGGCTGCCAAGACACGGGAAATCAGTCACTACTGGGAGTGCCCATATCAATTGTCAAATGACTCTCCCGATCGACCAAAAGATGGTACCAAATTGAATGTCGAATTGACGGCTGGGGACATTGTGCTGATGGGATCCGACGGTATCTTTGACAATGTCAATGATGATCTAATTTTAGATACCATTGTCAAGTGCCCTCCAAAGGCCGGCCAAATTGCCAAGCAAATTAGCAATGTGGCCCGAAAGCAATCGGTGAGCAAAGATGCAGCGACTCCTTATTCGCAACAAGCTATGAAGCGAGGCCTACCAGAGTACCAATCTGGTGTGGGAGGAAAAGTGGACGACATTGGATGTGTCGTTGTCGTTTGCAAGTAAAGCAAGTAAGCAAGCAACATTAGAGATAGTTTGAATCAATAATCTACGAGTAGAGTATGTTGAAATAAGATTTTATGCTTAGCAAATTCCCATCATTGGTATGTGGTAACAGCGTGGTGTATGTTCATTGAAGAAAGTCTTTTGAGAGGAGGAACGAATGTATCTAGTCTTTCAATCATCTTCCTTGACAGGAAATTTCTCCCCTTCCCAATTCTTCCATTCCATTCCCTTCGGCGCGACACGATCTTTTCCTTCGTAGTCCTTTTTCTTGACTTCATCCCAGTTGCAGGACAAGACCGTGCCTCCCGACGTTTGGTAGGACTTGATCATGGCTCTTTTTGTCTCTTCATCAGCATCAGCGTAGATTTGTTGGAAGAACTTGTTCATTTGGTTCTCACCCGGTGGTGGCTTTTCATTCTTTTCTTCTTCAATGACATCCTTTTCGACCTTGTCCCAGTCCTTGTCACTGGCATATGGGCGGTTGGTTGTGACAGCGACCTTGGGTTTAGGTGGAAGGGAAGATTTAAACTCTTCATTCTTTCCAAAGAGTTCATGCCATTCATACTTTTCACTTTGCTTCTTGAGCTTGAGGAGGATCTTCTCGCCCTTGAAGAGTACCTTGCTCTTCTCAGCGTCAATTTCCGTGTAGAGTACGTTGGCAATGACTGTATATTCCACACCTTGCTTCTTGATAATGACAGTGAGTTGTTTGGTACCCAAATGGATATGGACATCCTCTTCGGTGATACTAGGTTCCAAAATGGCAATCTTCATCCACTTTTCGTCTTGGTAGTATTGGTACTTGGGCATTTGTGGCCTTTGCTTGGCGCCGCCACCACTACTACCGACCACTCGTGTGGATGATTCTGGGACGAGAGTTCCAATGGTCTTGAAAACGTGCTCAGGTTTCTTCTCTTCCTCGTCCTCGGTAATCTCTTCGATCTTTGCATCAGGAGCAGCATCAGTATCAGCAGCATCAGCAGCCTTAGTAGCAGGTTTGCCGGTAGATTTGGACGCGACAGAAGCGGCCGCCTTTTTGTCCGTTGTCTTGGGAGGAGATTTCAATCGGTCTTTGCAGATTCCAATCACCTTCTTGTACTCTTCCACGGGACGATTGTTGAGGGAAGCCAATTGCATGGCTTGTTCCAGAGCTTCCTTGGCCTCGGCGTACTTTTTCAACTGAAAGGATGCAAGTCCTTTTCGCTTTTGGCAAATTTCTCCCTCACCGGAACGGAGACCCGATAAGCCAGCGGAAAGGATCTTCATGGCTTCTTGGGCATCTTCCAAGGCTTCCTCGAATCTATCCAGCTTGAGTAGAGCGCCTGACTTGCGAGAATGGGCTCGGAACTTGGTGAGACCTTCCGATTTGCGAGCGACTGAAAGCGCGGCTGCATAACAATCAATGGCTTCAGAATAGTTCTCATCCACTTGGCAGGAGTCTCCCAAGCTCAGCGAGGCCTCTGCATTCAAGTCTGCCATGTTAATGGTTTATAGGTGAGAGTATGTCTTGATTTGTAAGTGCGTTATTGTCTCCTGGAAAAGCGTCACCTGTCGATTCTAGCTACAGTACCAGGTAGTTTGTGAAACTTGGAACTGGATGTGTTTGGGACCACGATTTCGTGGTAGGTTTCATGATCTTCCACAGATTTCTTTTGGGGGCGGGTTGAAGAGCTGAAGAAGTCGTATTTTGGATCGGAGTAATCAGTTTCCACGATCATCGCAAGTCATTTTGGGACCACCACGCACGTAATTTGACACATTTCAATCAGATTCAATTATAGCGAGAGTTCTGTCCTACTTATCGCTCAAATCCAATACACGTACTGAAATGCAATTCTGTTTCTTCTTCCGCTTCACATCACGTCATTTTGAAAATACTGCAGAATGCACATCATCCACCAGGATTATTAGAAGCAACACTGTTCAACATACATAAAAATATTGACAATGAAAGTGCTCGTTCAAAATCAACCATGCCATTCTTGGGGAATTCAGTCTATGGCAAAAGAAGCATCACGGAAACGAAAATGCCAAAGAATGAGTAATGACAATTGCTGTAATCACGTGACGTCAACCACTCAGCAGCAGCAACAGTCATCATCATCATCATCGACAGCAACACCGAATCGAAAACGATTTACCGGAACCATCATACGGAAGTATGCAGCGGAATTGGCACTCTTTGACTCTATACCTGTGGACTTGAGCGAATCCGATTGTCCCTTTTTGTAAAACTCTATGTGGATAATTCATTCATTCATTCTGGGTGTCGTCATCATATCGTTTGATTTTAAAATACGGGTAGTTGTGATCCACCACCGCGATTGCAACCACCACCACCACCACACCTGGTCCGCTGCTATATCGTACGGCCACATAACTGAGTTAAGAAAGAATACAAATTTTTCAGCGCTGCCATTGTACTTGTGAGCGATCAGATTTTACTAATTAAATTACTGATGCGGACTGGATGATCAACAATTCGTTCATCTTTTGTATGAGGTGAAATATGCTGCATCAAACAAAATTCTAGTGCTTCTTCCTCTGTGAAGATATGATATTCTATTGCAACATTTGATCTAGGTATGATTAGAGTTGGATGGATGCTCGCTCGATCAATCTGTAGAATCGATTGATTCTTGACAATTGCTGCGCTGGTGATTTTGCTTTTTTCTCGCATGCTGTTTGCAAAAGAAACCTTGCAGGAGGGCAGCATTAAAGGTGTGTAATACCGGTACATTGACAATCAAGCATCTCCAATGTCCCGTATTCGTAATAATTTAGGATATCCGCCGTCTCTTGTCTCGTGGACTTTCGTCAATGACAATTTCGACATCACTATCATCGTGAATCTCTAGTACAGCATTGCCAGCACTAGTCTGTGTCACTGTCACCTTTTGTTGCTGTTGTTGTTGTTGTTGTTGTGTCGAGGATCTCGTGGATCTTGGTCGCGTATTGGTCTTTCGTTGTCTCTTGCTAGTCGCACTAGTAGATGAAGTAGTAGTAGTAGATGCTGCACCTTGTTGTTTGGCATGCAAATGCAATACTCGATTCTTGGGGAATCGATCCAGACCCAATTTTTGCAGGCTTCGATGATTCGACTTGAGTTCCCGCCCCAAGAAAAAAAGCCTTTGATGATCTTCAGGTAATGGACCAAACAAGTCGGCACCTCCTAAATCTTCCTTCAATTCTCCAAGTGTGGTAGAGAGTGGAAGGACGACCTGCAATAGATATAATGTATAATAGTGTTTTTATGAATGGGCAAGGATCAAGTGTTAGATTGCGGCTTTCTTCCAAACGTTCTTCCGAATGATCCTGTACCGGTATGGCACAGTGTCACAATAGATGATGATCCAAAAGCAGAACTTACTTCCAACTTTTTGGCATCCGCAGTCCGAATGATCGTCAGTGTAATGTCAGTTTCACCTGTGGATCGGCTCATCTTACTTTGATTGGTCTGTATTCGTTGAATGCTGCAGTAGCTAGCGCAGATCAAACAATTGCGAAAAAATGTTCAGATCGATCGATTGGATGCAAAACAGCCAAGGTGATGACTTCTTCCTGGAGGTTTACTGAATGAATTCTATCTCTCACTTCCCACCGGTTACTGGTGCTTCAACAAGAGAGTCAGTCTACGACTTTGTGGTTTCTGATAGACTTTTGCGACCGTACGAGTATTCTTCCTCCCTCCAAAGTCTCAGCGTATGATGTTTTTCGAAGACGTTAGAAAAAAGACAAATCTTTTTGTCGTCTTGTCTTGAACCGATGATAGAAAAACCATCTGCAATTGTTGTGTCGTTTCTGACATGATTGATGGCAGGCTCGCGAGCAGACACGTCCTCGCAGCATCGACCTTTTGGACTCACTCGTCCCATCGAAAAAAACTTGCTTTCGTGCAACTCTGTTGCCTCCAAAATTAGAGAAGCATTCGCGCCCATATTTTGATTGGATTTGATTGTTGGTTTGGAGATTCTCATCACTAATTTCGTCATTCCAATCTCTCCCACAACCCCTTTTATTGTGAAAAACAACAACTTGGTTCTATCAAGTAATAATTCAAAATGCCGAGAAAGCCTCGCAAATCGGACTCGTCCACACCGGGCATCAATCCTAGGGAAAACCTACTGGATCACCGGAATTTCCTGGCTCGATCGTTGACCCGCAATGACAATGAGATTTACGCATTGGTCAAGTTAAATAGATCACTTCGACAAGCCAAGGAAGCCATTCTCCAAAGCTGCGGTGAATTGGTCCTCCTCGATATCGGTCTTGGCAAACTCAAATTGATCAATGACGAATTGCATCAAGCCCAACAAGCCACTCCTGCCCCTGCTACTACTACTACTACTGCTGCTGCTGCTCCGCCACCAGAAGCAACACCATCGTCAGACGATGATGATGATGATGACGATAACGGCGACAAAGAGAAACAACAAACTACTGAAACTACTACCAACACAGCAGCAGCAGCAGCAGCAGTAGAAGAGACTTCTCAAGCAGCAGTGGTCCATCATTTGTCACCCGCCCAAAAGGACCTCTGTGTGGATTTCTTACTCAAAATGAAACTCCGCCGCAAATTGTGCAATCGATTGTCACGGCGTCTCAATCGCATTGCGCATGCCTTGGACGGGGAAGATGTGGCTCCGCCGCCACCGCCCCGGTACGGTGACTTGAGCCTGAATATTGATCCACAAGCCTTGAAAGACAAGGAGGTTCACTGGAAACTATTGAAAGAAGCCCAAGAGAGAGTGGAACTTGCCAAGAAGAACAAAAACGAAAATGGCAACAGCACTGATACTGATATCAAGACTACTACTTCCGAGACCGAGCCTCCTCAAGAAACCACCAGCAGTCTAGAAGCACCTCTAGTCAAGGCGGAGGAGCCAGAAGAAAAGGCAGAAAAAGAAATGGAAGACGAAAAGACAAAAAAGGCAGAGCCTGCTATCATCCCATCGGCACCAGAGGCCGCTCCGACTGGGGACAAAGTGGTCACACCAACCACCAAACAAGAACCTGAAGAAAAGTCAGAAGACAAGAAGATTGGAGAGGAGACCAATGCTGCTGATATGAACGAACCAGAAAAGAAGGAGGAGAATGGTGAACCAGAGAAAAAGGAAGAATCGGCCGAAGAGGATCCCGAATCGGTCATTTCTAAAAACCTCTTTGCTTCACCAGTGAAAAAGGAAGACAATGGTGGTGTTCCAATGACACAGACTGAGCGAGATGAGGAACTGTTGAAATCCTACGATGATGCCTACGAAAAGGTGTGGGATGCCACTACCAATTCTTTCAAGTACACCATTTTGGACGAAAAGCGTGAACCCGATTACGCCACCATTCAAGATGGGGGTGTCGGTGCATTGTCGAGGCACATGACTGACGAAGAACGGGAAGCGGAAAATCAGAGATGGCAATCTGCCATTTTGGCACGGATTCCCAAACAGCCAACCTTTGAAGACTTGGGGCTGACAGCAAGAGTCTTTTGTCTGGAAGAACGATTGAAGCGGTGTCGCGAAGAGGCGGATCAAGAAGAAGGAGAGGAGGAGCCTGACAGCAACAAGAAGGCCAAGGCAGAAGGTGACAATGATGAAGATGCCATGGACGTGGACAAGGCTCAAGACGAAAAAGAATCATCCAAGAAGGAAGATGGTGAAGAAGGTGGAGCCACAGAATCATCGACTCCCAAAAAAGAGATCAAAACCCCAGAAAAGAAAAACATGGGAGCTGCCGAGAAAAAAAAGGAACCCCCCAAGAAGGTAGAAAAGGAATTCAAACCAACCAAGCCAATGTCACTTGCTGCGGTTCCTTCCTTTCACAATCAAGATACCAATCGTCTCCGAATGATTCAGGCTGACATGATTGGACAAACGATTATTAGTACTGCAAAAGAAAGACTGGCAGGACTGGTGCATTCCTACAATGATGGTACGAAGAAAGCAATGCTCTGCATGTATGATTTCTCAGTTCTTGTATGCTTCACATACATTTCTAACAATTTTTTTTCCATATTTCCTTTCAGCGCTCATAAAATCGGTTCAATGCTACAATGCAAAACAGCAAATCGCACAGAAGGTGGCTTTGAATTTGGAACAAGGACGTCGTGAAGTGGCCAAGGCCAATTCGGAATATGCATTGAAAGTCAGTTTGGGCAAGCAAAAGTGGTTGGTGGAGAAGAAAGAACACGATAACAAGAGATTGGCAACCATGCCATCACGTTTTGGTCAACTGGCGATCGGGACCAATGCCATTCAAACTTACATGAGAATCAATGCCGGCGACCAAATCAAATTGATGGTTGGACAAGCTCTCGGAGACCTTGTGGATTTGACCATCATGCAGGCAGAGGGAAAGCTTACTACCAATACCAAGTATCCAGACTTTGTTCCACCGACAGCACCTGCCCTTCCTCAACAATTCCGTCAGCAGCAGCAGACTTTGAAGAATGAACACGATCGTCTCGCTGCCGCATTCAATCAATTGGAAGAACAGCGAAGAGTGAAATGGCGCAAGTACATGGGAGCACGCGCCGAAATTGAAGTGAAACATGGCGTCAGTTCCCGACGCACAGCAGCCACTTACAGCAGTACGCCGTGCCCTCAATTGAATCGGGCCACTCAACAGTCCATACCCAACCTGCAATTCCCGGTCATGGCAAGAGCTGGGTACACTCCTATTAACAAACCGCCCAGCAGTGATCCAAAGTACTCGGCAGCCAAGGTGAAGCAACGTATTGCCAACGACGGAAGTGTGGCTCCTGTCACTGAACCAAAAAAGACCAAGGATGGACTGTACATGCGTCCTTCGGGAAGAACACGAAAGGGTATGCAATGGGACGCCCTTCGAGGTCTTTGGGTTCCCGAGAATTACCGGTAGTTTCATAGCCTTTCAACAAGTTTGGCGAGCAGACGTCTGTGGGAGGGATGAATTAACATTTACTAGGATAATATTTTCTACAAAAAATTAGCCACCTTTGTTTTAATCTAAAGTTTTGATCGTGGTGCTTGAGCTCTACTCTTCTTTTCCACCTTTCTAGACAGTTCCGAAACCATTTCTTTGGGAACAAGAGGTGGTCTATACAACCATTCTCCACCATCTACAATCAAGACATCTCCCGTCACGTACTTGGCAGTGCACATGTATACTGCTGCTTGACCAATCTCCCACGCCTCTCCCATTCGTCCTAGCGGAATGCCTTCTGTCATCATTCCATCAATATCGCTGGCATCCAATCCCGGTGCGAGCTTGGTAGTGCCAGGTGTGTTGGCGATTGGTCCAGGAGCAATTCCAACGACACGTACTTGCTCCGGTCCCCATTCCAGAGCCAGACTTCTCGTCAGAGAATCGACAGATGCTTTGGCGGCAGAAGCATGGGCTTGCCAATGAGTCGCAGGGCATTGTAATGTAGCAGAAATATTAATGATAATGGCTCCTCCTTTCATTGCCATTTTGGGAAATGCAGCGTTGCACATATTGTAGGTTCCAAGTGCATCAATGCCCATTACTGTCGCAAACCCTTTGGGAGAAAGACTCTTTGCTTGAGCGAGAAAGTTTCCAGCTGCTCCATTCACCAAAATGTCGAGCTTGCCATATTGTTGCATGGCATATTCCACAGCCTCTATACAGCCGTTGGGGTCGCGAACATCGGTAACCTTATATTTGCATGATTTTCCAGTTTCCTTCTCCAGAATGGCAGAAGCTCGCTCCAAAAACTTGGCGCGACGACCACAAATGACAGCTCCTCTGGCTCCGTGGAGCAACAGCTGCTTGGTGACTTCAAAACATATTCCAGAACCACCTGTTTTGTAGAATAGAAAATGGGATGGGCATTGTGTTGGTAACAATGATAAGTTATGCATATTAGCAATTTCAGGAGCCGCCCAGTTTCTTGGTTCCACTCACCTCCAGTAACTAGTGCCACTTTTCCTTCAAGACAATCGGAGCGGAAAGGGGAGTTCATGATTTGGAGATTGCTGTATCTGAAAGAGTGACGCTTGGCATCGATTTTAAGAATGCATCGATGACGAATTTGAAGAGTTGGGTCGATAATTGGAAGGTACTCGTATAGACTTTATATCATTCGAATGGATCCAAAGTTGATGGATGGGGATAGAAGAAACTGTGGAGGTACAGTATGTGGAAGTGTCACACTCTTGTGCCAAGTACGAATTTTCACGTACAGAAAGGCGGCCGACTTTCCGATTCAAATCTGGATTCGCTCCCGGCGCAGTACATGTAAAAATGACATCGTAAAACGAATCATAGAACGTTTGTGTGTGATAGGTTCTCTCCTTCTTTTGTTTTCCGTTGGCACTGTCTAGTCTTGGATATTGTTCATCGCACCTATTTTACATTGGATGAGCTTGCTCTAAATATACGTTCAAGAAAGAGTGGGAAACGAAGGTGATTGTTGGAAAAGCGAAGCGCAAAACAATGGCCGATGATAGTTTGGATGAATTCTTGGCTTGGGACATTGCTCAGAATAAAACAGAAACCGCATGGTCTTCCAGAGTCTCTGCAAAGAGTAGAGCGCGCAGAACTTATGGCAGTAGTCGAGGTGGTAGCCTCGCATCACAGCGACGAACTATTAGTGAATCCGATGAATACATAATAGCCAATGATGGCTTGTCCGCCAACGATGAGGTATCGGAAGAAGAAGAAGAATTCGGTGGTGAATCTTCACTTCCTCCTCCGCTTCCTCCACCTGCCCCACTATTAAAAAGGGCCAATTCAGTCACTACCTATGATCGAGTGCGCACACCAAGGATGAGGAGATCCAACTCTATTTCCTTTGCAGCTCGAGATGATACAGTGAAAAAGGCCACCTTTCCCAGACGCTCTTCGATGTCTGCCCAACCCTTGGGATCTGTGGATAGCTTTTCCGAAAATCATCATCCAAACTTGAGTGTACTGGAAGAGTTTGTCTCACCAAAGCGACCCAAGATGACTATTGAATTTCCAAACCGGAAAAGAGTCAAGTCCGAAGATGTAAGCGGTCCTAAGGTTCCCCTATCTGAATCCTTCTCAAATCTGGCAAAGGTTGGTGAAGATCGTTTGTTTTGGGCAAAGGCAGCTGCCACAGAGGCAGCCTTGTCATTCAACAACAATGGCCCTGTCGCCCAAGACAAGTACTATGAGCCGATTGAATTCACGGATTCTTCTCCTGCTGCAGAAAGCGTAGGCTCAAGAAAGCGTGGGATTTGGGACTCTCCGCTGGATGATAGTGATGAATATGACAGTTTGTCAGGAGGACCGTCTATTCGAAGGACGCGATTCTTCTCACCGTCTCAAACACCTGTTCATTCATCGAATGCTGCAAATACTGGCAGCTTGTCTCAAATGTCGGTAAATTCGGAAGATCGGCCACGGATCCAAGAGGAAAGCTTGGATACGGATGACGACTTGTCCACAGACGATGTATCAGTGGACAGTCAAATGGAAGCCAAGACACCTATGAATGATCTTTCGCACTATGGAAATCATTCGATTGGAGGGCTTTCTCCCGATTTGCTCGATGTAAGGAATGCTGGACCTGATGACATCATCAGTACCATGTCTTCCTACCAAGATCTACGATTTCTGGTGAGATCACTTCGCAAGGAGAAGTCCAATAGCCGAACAAGTTGGCATGTTGCACCACCAGTGCAATGGGAATCGCAACGAAGACAAGCATTCCTTTACTGGGCCACAAGAACTCTTGGTTTTTCTTTTCGATCTGGTGGCATGGCTATCACATACATGCAAATCTCAAAAGCCAAGGGGGCAGAGATACTCGAACTTCTTGAGATGGCTGTCACCTCCTGGAAGGAGCAAGGATTCGCGGAACAGACCCCATTAGAAAGCTCCAAGAAGCTCAAGTTCACCTTTTCATCAGTCAATAAGACACTGGGGACTCCCAGAGCACTAGCGCTTACACCAAAGGAGTACGTGTACACAAGTATCTCTGTGTGCGTAATCCACTACAACACATCCTCACACCTTCTTTTCCGCACACCTCTGACAGATCTACAATAACAAGTAATTTCAACTCAGGCAACAGCGAAGTGGTTGACGACCTTTCCAGCAAAATGATGTCGCTTGGAATGAGTGACAAAAAGAAGAATCTACGTTTCAGTGATCAATACATGCCAATGGGAGGAATGATTCTTGAAGATTCGGAGGAATTGTCTTTCATCGAAGCATCTCGGCCTTCCTTGGAGAATCATGCAAGTGCAAGAGATTTGATGGCGCATATGCATGGGTTGACACCAATTCCAAGAAAAGGTCGCCCACCAAGGTTGTCGATTGAGAGCACGGGATCTAATGGAGCGAGCGGTATGTCACGGGGGATTTTTGATGACATGTCGCCGTATCCGAAAGCAGCCCAACCTCTTGGCAACGATTGCATGACGTGAGTATCATCTATCTTTTGCCGTTACATCTTTTGGAAATTGATTGCTGTTCTAAAATTCGACTGTTTTGATCATGTAGACCAATGGTAACCAAGCCAGATCTTGGATGGGGATCCTGTCCTGTCTCAGGACGAGACTGGGGAGCGTCCGAGTCTTGCTCGCCTAATATTATTGAGGAACTTGTACGACGATTTGATCAAAGCGGAATAGAAGCTGGTATTGTTGACGATACAATGATACCACAAAATTCGTGGAATTCTTCCGAAAGTTCCTCCAATCGTTTTGATCTCGAGCTCGAGGCAGCTGGCAACGAACAGGAATCGAGTAACAACAGCTTCGAAATTCCAGGAGACAACTTTGGCTCTGGCCTTGATCCTATTCTTCAGACGAAACAAGATAGGCGTCGCCAAACATCATTTGCGAAGCATGCTCGAATGTCACTTATTGCGTCGGCTGTGAATCCCAATGGACCAATTGTGAATGGTCGCAAGTCACTGTTCGATCGTCCAAGCAGAGTCTTTTTGGGCACGGACTTTGCCCTGGCCGAAAGGCTGGAAGCAACCCCTGCATTTGCTCCATCCAATGATGCCACGTTGGATGACCCAGCGTGCTCTCGCCGTACTGCACTGGCTGATGCTGGCGTCCTTGAAACTATTCTAAGCTTCCTCAACGAGCCAGAGCTGCTGTGCACTGCAAGTCTCGTCTCTATACATTGGGCAGATTGTGCCACTCAGGCGCATGCCAACATGATGTTAATGAGTGTTGGCTGCGCAAGTGAATCTGACACCGAAAGCAACGACGACGGTTCTATCGTGGAGGAAGAAATGCAGACATGCGGCTTCATGGAGCGAGAATGGGGATTTCTTGTCTCTAACTTTCCATGGGCCTGCTTCCTTTCCGAAGGTGCTTTCAAACGTGTTTACAAGGTGTTCAACCACAACCATCGAGTGGAAGAAGCTATTTCTGTCATGTAAGTCCTTTCAGCATGGTCGCAACAGACGAGCCTTGCGATATTTCTGACTTCTTTGACTTCTTGTAGGGATGTGAATACAATCGAGTCAACTGGAAATATAAATGTCGTTGGAGCAGAGTTGGCGGTATCCGTCCTTCTCAGTTCTCTTGTCCGGCGTGGAGTGTGTCCTAATTTTATTGTCACCCGAGGCATTTTCTCTTGTGCCTACGAGCCTCCCGCACGATCTTGGGGGTCGGCGACGAATAAGCGTCCAAAAGGATCATCCTACGTTTCTCCCAAGTCGAAAAGACAACCAAAAGAACCTGCACAGGATAAACGGGGGCGATACCAATACATTCGAATGGAACTTTGTGACGAGGGAGATGCTGAAGAATATTTGAAGCGCCAACCTGATGGAGCAATCGACCCGATCGAGTCCATGAAGCTGCTGTTTCAAATGGCCTTCTCCTTACACGCTGCAGCTGATCGCTTTAGTTTGAAACATTACGACGTCAAGCTTCTCAACTTCTTTCTCCAAGGGGTTACGACGGAAAAGGAAGGGAATGTGGTAATGAGGTATGGTCTTGGTGAACATACTTTCGCATTGAAATCAAAACATGGAGAAGGTGTCATCGCAAAGCTGGCAGACTACGGTACGGCAAACGTGGATTCCGGTTCTTGTGGTCAAGCTGTTACCATTGCCCAGTTTACGACGCTCGAGAATACGCCAATCGACTTCTTGATACTTGGTGATTCTGCTCTACAAGGACACGGACATGATTGCTTTGGTTTAGGCTTGTGCATGTTGCACCTATACACAGGACATGCTCCTTACGAAGAAATCTTGGAAGAAGTCACCTGCCCACAGGGTCTCAAGAAGGAACTTCGCTTGATCTGGGAGAATGAAGCTGAGTCAAACTACTCTGTCATTCGAAGTCTTATCTTGTCCGAGGTCTACAAAGACGAAGAAGGGCACATCATCGAAGGAGAACCCGATGAATCCTTGTATGATACTTTATACCGGTTCCTTGTCCTATTTGGCATTCCAGTTGTTTCTTCAACACTTTCTAGCTCGAAGGTTTGGATTGCAATCAAGAATACTTTGGAGAACAAGGCGAAGAAATCAGGAGGAAAAAAGAATCAACGAAATGACAGCACTCAATTCAGTAGCGACCGAAGAAAGTATTCTATCAGTCGAGGAAACAACAAATACATTGCAAGGGCTCGCAAATCACTTGAGTCTTTGCATGGTGGCATGGATCTACTGTTGTCTTTGGTTTCCTTCGATCCACAAACAAGGGCTTCCGCTCTTGATGTTCTAAATTCACCCTTCATGACACCTCTTCGAGAAGAAGCGGAAGAATCGCAATACAGTGAAAACGACGAAGTGTTCACTTACAATGCATTCTCAATCAAAAGTACGTAGCTATATATAAGAAGCGATAAATGATTTGGAAATTTGTGTATTATATCAACCAAGTAAACATCCGGGACAGTTGTGTAGTGTTTCATGAAGGAATGCCGAACAGTCCTCGCAAAACATATTCGTGCAGTCAGGGCATTCATATCTCAGCACTGGCTCCCCTACCTTGTCTGGATTGTTCGTCGGTCTCGGTACTCCCACCAATCGTAAACACGAAAAGCATGTAGTTTTATCTCCATCCTTTGACAGTCGAAGGCTGGAATCCAATTGGGTGGTTACCTTTGGTTTGGTCTGATCCCACTTTTCAATTGATGCATTGGAAGAAACGACTCTATCCCCTATCATTACCTCGGTATTCTCGTCGGGCAGCACTTCCTGAAAGGGCTTGACGGGGAACAAATGGTGAAATGTTCGAGCCAAATGTGGCGCCAGCACCAGTTTCAATCCACACACCACACAATCCATGGGAAGTTCCGAAACCTTTGCATAACAGCGAGGGCAAGTATAGGCCGTCCTCGCTAATAGTTTGATATCTTGGGTCGCATGGACCAAGGTTGGAATGTCCAATGTCGATCTCGCAGGAAATCCCATTTGAATCATTTCACAGGCAAACTGCTGATGCTTCTTTTTGAGTGAGGGAGGCGGAACGCACTGTCCAAAGAGCCAATCACGCAAATGATCCTTGTCCAAACAAACGCCCAAGGATCCTCCCGTTTCTTCGGCCACTTTGCGGCACACGTGCATTTCCGCAGCAAGAGCTAGTGCCGAGACTCGAATATTTGCCGCTTTTAACCTCGGCAATGTTTCCGTCAACAAGTGTCCCGGGTCCGTGGAAGCGAGGGCCCCACACAAGATCAAAATTTCTCGGGATCCGTGTCGGGGTTGATGGCCCAAGGATCGACCAGCTACTTCCAATCCATTCTGCAGCGACATTTCGCCTCCTCCTTTTGGACCTTCTCTGGCGGTGATTTCCGCCACACTTTGCAGGGCCAGTTTGTTGGTTTTGGAACTGGACGACAATTGTGTCAATATTTCGGCTTCTCCATCCTTAAGAAGGACAAAACCCAGATGCGATAGTGGATTCTGATCGTAATATTCCGAAATGAATTCCTGCAAGAGTTGCAAGACCACCTCAATTCTCGTTCCGCCCGGCAATACGGGATCTTTGTCTCGGGTCCATCGACTGGCATCAATCAAGACATAAATGTATCGAATCATATCTCGGACCACTCGTCGATTGCGTTGGGCATAATCATTCTGTTCTTGACGTTTTCTACGACGGCGAATCATATCGGCTCTAGAAGCTCCTCCTGATACAATGATACGGCCCTCGGCATCTTCTTGGACGGCGGTTTCCCAGGTATTTTTGCCACCAATGTCTTCCCACGCATGAGCGGCTTGCTCCTGTGCGGTTTTGTTGGCAGCATCTGTGGCAGCTGCCGAGATTGGAGCACTG